ATGTGTGCAGGGAGCTGATTTCAAGGTCATTTGTCCTTCTCCAGTCTTCCCTCCGGTTCTCTCGGCTCAGCAGCCCTGGCGTGTGGGACAGCCGGAGCCCTCGGCCTTGCTCTGGGAGCCCTGGTGAGTCACTTCCCTAATGCCTGTCCTCGCACATCCAGTCTCGTCAGTGGGCCGCAAAACCCCAGGACAGGAACTGCTCTGCACTAAAGGTCAGGGCAGCCTCTGGCCTAAAAGGTCTCGAATCTGGGTTCTGCTGCAATGTGGAAATCTAAGCCCTGCCTTAAGACAAATACCAGCTTTCCGCCTCTTGATCCAGGGTGGTTTCCCAAGACATGCAAAGTTAAGGGTGTATTTGGCTCTGGATTCCAGTCGGCACAGACCTGCTCCTCCAGTCTTTCTGTGTCTGACTTGAGCGCGGGCACCTTGGCGTTAGATGGGTGGTGGGTCGCACCTGCCTGGTGGGAGAGGTGTGTGCCCAGGGAATTCTTTGGGGGGTTGCTTTGGAGTCTGGGATGCTGGCTCCCTTTCCTGAGCTATCGTTGTGCGGAGTGTGAGGAGGAGGCTGTGCTGGTGCAAGCAGAGGCCTCCCGGGGACTTCCCTTGTTTAGCAGTCAGCCAGCCAGTACTGTGGCAAGCAGTTTCCACAGAAAGCTAAACAAGTCACTGGCCATTTGGCCCTCCTCAGGCAGCAGGAGGAGCATTGGCTTTGGCAGTCCCAGGGAGGGAGGTTCTCCCAGGCAGAAGGACGTGTATTTCTCTTGCAGTTTTCAGTGATTTCGGGGCCTTGGTGTTTCTCCGAGCTCCAGCGCTCAGAGATAACGGTAGGTACTCGCTGTCTAGAGTTATCACTTAAGGTCTCTTGGCAAAGCAGGCAGGATTAAATGTACTGGGAATGGAGGCCAGCCTGTTGCACGACCGGGATGGAGAGCCCACAGGGGAAAGCGTGAGAGAACTGGGGTGTTCCTGCTGCTGCTGCCTGGAAGTAGGAGCCATCCCCACCTCCTTCCCTGCTTTTCTCCCTCCCTTTCCAGTAGTACCTGCTGCTTTCCCCTTCTCTGTGGACCTCCAGGTGAACCTGGGCTGCCACCTCACGTGTTCTCAAAGCCAAATGCCTCGGTAAGCTGCCCTTGTCCTGCGGATTGTGCCATGTGCCTAGGGGGCTGCAGGACTCTGGGGCTCAGCATCCCTGCTCTCCTGCTGTCCAGGCAGGCTCAGGGCCCATCCCCTGCACTGCTGGTGGCCAATGGGACAGGCGGGCGGCACGCGCCTCCCCCGGGACTTTGGCCTGCCATCCACCTGAAGTAAGAGGGGCAGCTGCGTGGGCTGAGCTTGCATCTGCTCTCAAGGCACGTGGGAATTTCTGCAAGGGAGTCCATTTTTCCCTGGGCCATTTATTTGCAAGTGAAATGGTAGTTTGAGGGCCTGCTTTTGGTGATGGCTCCAGCATATGCCAGTCTTGAGCTCTGCCTGTCAGTGTGAGGCTGCTGGCAAGGAGGGAGCCTGCAAAGGAGCAGGGTGGTGCAGGACGGATGCCTCGGTTCCTGGAGACACTGGGTGCCTGTATTTCCATCCGGACTTTGTAGGTGCTGCCAGCAACTAGGGTTGCTGGCCAAAGCTCACATTTCACTCTTTGTGGCCATGCCTAAATATACGGGGAGAGGGACTCGTGACACCCATGTGTTAGTCCCATGCTTAATAAGGCCAGATGGGAGCTCTGGAAGGAACGGACTGCAGTGGCCACGTGCTACAAGAGAGCGTCCTCATTCTTTCCTTGTTTCACCATGTTTTTTAGACCTGGGGGTCTGCTGTCTGGAAGGTCTGAGGGACCTGGGGGACCTTTTTTAGACCTGGGGGTCTAAAAAACACCCCCAAACCAGTGGCTTTGCAGTGATGGGTCACATGGGGGTGTTGGTTTGTGAGTCTGCATACCCTGAACATGTGCCTGAAGGAACCTCAGGGATGAATGGGGACAGGGACACCCAAATTTGAACTCCTCCTTTACCCAAACTGGGGCAGTCCTTCATTGAACAGCAAAGGCATCAGAGACAAGCAGACACCTCCAAAGTGTTTTTTGCCCCACTCCCACTCCTTGCTTGGTGGGACTGCACCCAGCCCATGCGCTAGAAGGGGCTGTAATTCTCCAGTAAGCGCTTTTCCTTCAGGTGATAAGGAGGAGAATCAAAGGTTAATAGTCCAGCCCCATGCACCAGCTGTTAGTACCGTACTGCTGGTCTGAGGTGTGTGACGTTGGCTGTCCTGAAGAAGGCCTCCTTACAGGCAGGGAGGACACAGTCTGGGTAAGGTAGGTACAAGGGAGCGTATGCTGTGTGGGCAAGGAAGGGGAGCAAAAAGGTTGGTTTTGCCAGGGGTGGAGGTTCTAAGCACCAGATCCATCTGAAGCTGGTTGTGGTACCCCTGAGATACCTGGTTTTGCTGGCCCTGTCTCTGGGCATGGCCATCTGTGGGGTGAGACTGGCTTGAGGAGGCTCCTGCCCTTTGGAAGGGCTGAGGCAAAGCAGCAGGACGTGCTGGGTTGTGAGCAGAGGGCTGCCTGCCTGCATCCTGCACAGGGTGTTAGGACAAGTGCATCCCTGGACTCGAGTCCCTGCCTGAGCAAGGGGAGCTTCTCCCGCCATGGCAGCGTGGCGCTCGTGCAGCATCTGCGCCGCTCCTCCACCTAGTGCTGAGGTGCTTCCCCACGCTGCCACGCGCACGTCCTCCTAAAACTAATTTGCTCCATCATTTTAATAAATGTCGAAGGGAGATCCTGGCGTGTGGGTAATGGGGCATTAATCCATGCCTCGCTGTGTTAACAGCACTCTGGGAAGGAATTAATGCCACATAATTCATCGCTTCTGCAGCTCTTACTCTCTTAATTACAGCTCATGTGATTTAGGAATCCCCTTCTGCTAGGGCTTCCCAATCTCCTTCAATTTAGGGAAGGCCTCTGATTTTTTTACGCCTGCGTTACTTGTGTCGTGGAGGGTGCCAGCAGTGCCCTCATCCACGTGGCCCTAATATAGAGATTTTCAGGTGGATGCTGGTCCAGGTGCTGTTTGAGGCTTCTCAGGATCAGGCAAGACCTCCCCCTGACCTTGCTTCTCTTTTTGGTTAAATAAACAAATAAACAGAATTTTGAAGCTGTTTGACTGCACAAGTGCTGCTTGACCACCTTTTGGCTCCAAAGAGCATTTTTTGGCTTCAAAGAGCACTGCATTCCTGGGAGGGTATTCATCAGTCTCTGCCTAATTTCTTTCCTGCATAGGATAAATGTATAGTGTTTTTCTACTATAGTAGTTATTTTTCTGCCCTGGAAGGGACTGGGGTCTGGTGAGAACCCACCCAGCCAGGGCACCTGAGGCTTCGTAGGTTGCCCGTTTTTGAGGGGCTAAAAGAACTGTTGTGCCCAGCAACATGCTCTGGTGGAGTTTGCAGGGGCTTTGGGTTTCTTTTGCAAACAGAGATCTCTTATTATAGCTCTGTCCAAACAGAGCTTAAATCAGTTTTCCACCTCAATGGAAATCCCCAACTGCATTAAAATCCCTGGGTCTTGCCAGGTGCAGTATAAACATTTATCAAATGGTCGTGTCCGCTGGGAAATGCCCCCGCTTCCTTGCCTTTGCTCACCCCCTAGCTGTGTTACCTGTGCTAGGGGGGCAATATTTAGTGGTGGCATTAGGTGGCCGTGCAGCCTCTTTCCTGCCTGGATCCAGGTGCACCACGCCGAGGCAGTCGATACCGCGGGATGCCGGGAGCAGGCCCAGAGTTCTGCTCTCTGCAGAGATTTTGTCCAGAGCTGCTGCATCAGTCAACACAAATATCCTATGCCAGGCAGAGATGTTATCAAGTGAGTTTTCACGGTTCAGGGCTTTTATGTACCGGGGTTGCAGACTTAAAACAATAGCTGGTCTCGCTGGTCTCTGTATTTGCGTGTGTATGTTTTTATGTTGGGGTCTCATTCTGATTAAATTGACAGGGAAATAAACTACTCTTGTGGATATATATTTGAAAAAAAAATAACATGCAGAGAAAGGCTTATGTGATTTTTTTCACTCAGAGAATGCAGGGAGGAGGTGATCTCTGGAGATTTTTAAGGCATGCTTCCTCAAGAGCAGGGAAGGAAATGGCTGCAAGGGATCACACAAGGACAGGGAAGAGAGTAGCATGGTGTAAAAGAGCAAGAATTTGGGAACCCAAGTGGAAAGGGAGATTTAGTCTGGCTTAATCCAAGAGCTGAAGCCCAAAAGCCACCCAAAAGCCCGTGCTGAACCACCACGGCCTAGGAAACCTTCTGTGGTCAAGGGGGGCAAATTTAATTCCTGATACCGAAGGCAAAGAGATTTCCTCCTGGCTCAGCACTCAGGTGGCAGCTCGGGAGCAGCGCTTTGGAGAGCAGCCAGGTGACATCTGCCAGCTCCTCTTGGAAAAAACAAGTCACCATGGGTCCTCCAGAGAACAGTTTCCTTCGGACTTGCAGCGTCCGTGCAATGCCAGCAGGCACTAGTGGCAAGAAACGGTGCAAAGTGCAAAGTCATGTAATTACAGTGAGGAGGGTTGGGTGCTATTTCCAAGACCGCGTTGGCACAAGATTGGGCATGGGCTGGGACGTGGGCTGTCCGGTTGGGTGGGACATGAGAGGCTGTAGGCGTTGCTGCTGCACACGCGGCCACACAGAGCTCACGTGCTGCCTTGCTGCTGCCCATCCTCGTGCTGGACCCTGCCTGCTCTGCAGTGGCTTTTCACCGTGCAGCAGCGAGAAGGCCTCTTTGGGAAGGTCTGTCCCTCTTAAGAGGGAGCTGTGTGATTGACCTGTCTTCCTCTCTGAAGCTGGTGGCTGAACACGGCTTCTGGTCCATCCTCCCCATTGCAGCCAGGAGATAGATAGACCAGGTGCTCTTCTGAGTCACTTCTTCCACAACCTGCCCAGAAGGACCTGAGCTTCAGGACAGTGCAAGTGGCTGGTTCTCAACTTTTGTCTCCCTGGTCTCTGCTCCTAGGAAGAAACCCTGAACCCTTAAGAAGCAGTGACTGAAGAGGAAGTTAAGAAGCAACTGGAAGGAACAAACCTATTTCATAACAAGTTCAAGTTTGAATTAAATGGCTGATAAACAGATCAGGTAACTTCTTTGTAATTGTCAAATTGTTTTGTTTGCTTGGTTGATTTTTGTTTGTTTTTTTTTTTTTCCTTTTTGCTTTGGATTTTTCTTTTCTAGGCTTTCAAGCTCAATCTCTTTCGTGATACTGGAGGCTAGAGGAGATCCCTTGATCGTTTCTTCTTGCTGTAAACTGCTCTGATTCCTTCTTTGCCCCTCTCTCAACTGTTTTTTCAGTCTTTGCTTCTCTGCTGTTGTTTGTCTTTCTCATGTTGTCACATTTCTGTTTTCTTCAGCACTTTCTTCTCACTGCTCATTTCTTTCTTGCCTTTGCTTTGTCCCTTGCCTGCCCAAGTTCCTTTTTGCTTCACCTTTCAAAGGTCAGGTTGGCCTGCTGACTTCAGCCTCCAAGCGAGCAAAGCCAGCTCTTTGACCAGCTGATTATCTGATGCTTTTAATTGCAGTCTCCACAGAGATGCTTACTTGAGCCCTTCCTCTAAAGCCATTGATGGCTTGAGTGATTGTAGGAACGTGAAGTACCAATGTGCGGCTGTTGCCAAGTTTAAAATAGCTGGTGACACTCAACTGCACAGCAGGACTTTAAGAGCCTTGGTCCAGGCACACGTAAAAGCTGGATGTGAGTTCTCCTTGGAAGTGAATCGGGATGTCTTTTTAGAAAAGACACTGCTAAGTGTCCTGTTTGCCCTCAGGTGCCCTGACACTGCCCTTAGCTTCCTAGGAGCTGAGTCAGATCTGCACAGTCCTGCGAGCGGGTTTTGCTTTCTGCTGCTTGTGAAGTTGCTCCAGATAAGTGACTCCTACATGCCTTGGGATTCATCTTTTTCTGTGCCCTTCTTCTAACCCCTACCTTCCCGAATTACCATCTCAGGGCAGGAGGCAAGCGGGTGGCCTAGCACAGTGGGTGAATGTTATTTGGTGCCAGAGGGCTGGGATTTGGCCACACTTGAATGCTATAGCAAGGAGGGCTGTCCCTGCTCAGTATTTGCCACAGTTCGTTTTATTTTCCTTTTCGTTCTTCCCACCCTTCTCCCTTCTGGGAGCGAAGGCAGTGCTGAGCTGCACTGATAACAACGCAGCGTTGCAGTGTTTATGTGTCTAAATTTGCCTGTCATCAGCTCTGTGATTTCAGGAGCACTTGGCACTGTTCTGTTATAGCACCAGAGCAAACGCTGAGATTCACCCGTGTAAAGCCCGGCAGGTGCAGGGCCCTGATAGCCTCTGCAGAGTGAAAGGAGCAGGTGTCGAGGGCTGTTTGACACGGAGGGGAGCCAGGTATTTTGAGGCAGGGGAGATGTGTCCTCCAGGATCTCCTCCAGCTTTCCAGTGTGCTTCTGGCAGTGGGAACAGGAGCCTGCTGGCTTATGGGGTCTGGTAAAAGAGCTGAGGGGAGCATAAGGAGAACTGAGGTATCTTCCTCTTCCTCCTGGTGTAAAAGTGGGTTAGTGACTGTATTTATTTGCTAGACTGTGTCTGTCATCCCTTAGCAAATTGAGACCAAAAGACCAAAATCTACAGCAGTAGTTTGCTGCAAGGTGAGATGAAGAGCATTGAATTTCCTCAGTTCTGCCCACGTAACTTCATCTGAGCGTGAGGAGAGCTGTTCCCCAGGTGCTGCCGCATTATCTGCCTGTTCCAGTCTCTCCGCAGTGCTCACGGGGGAACCTAAATTGTTGGATTCGGCTGCAGTGGGAGTGTTAAGCAAGGATTTCTTATCCACAGATAGGATGAGAGGCTCACTGCAGCCCGTGTTGCTCCAACTTCCTTGACTTGCTCAGACACATCAGACTATTCCCCTTTCTTGTTGGGGTCTGTGCTGAAATTGGGGAATCTTTCGCACCTGCAGTGCCAGCAGGCAACACGCTTGCCACGAGTCTGTTTCTCACTCCCACCTGATGTAAATGCTGCGATGATTTTGCTGTTGGAACAAGCAGAGAGGCAAGTGTCTGCCTGCTCCAGGTGTTTCAGGGACATACAGAGAAACCGTGGCAGCACCAAGACCAGAGAGGGGCCCTGATGGCTTTTGTAAGTTGCAGTCTGTCACCTACCAGCAAGGACTTCAGAATTAATCCTAGGCAATCCTATGAGATCCCATCTTGTGTGCTCTGCGTGGACACTGTGCACTGGCTGGAGTCCGTTTGAAATACTTGCTTCCCAGTGGAGTCTCCCTCTCGATGCGACCTTCATCTGGTCTCTAGCCATAGCCTGAATGAGCAGCATTCAGTTGTGCTGTGGGTTAGATGAGGAGAAAGCTGGGATGTGAAGCCCACTGTTTGCTGAACTTTTCCCTTACGCTGAGATGAAATGAGCGGAGGAGTTCACAAGCACATCTGTTTCCTTCTCAGGCTGTAGTGCGGAGATCCCCGAGGCTGCAGTCTCCAGAGGGTGAAACCTTGGAGCGTGGCACAGCTCTGAGATCATACGCTAATTTGGGCATGACTTTCTAACGTGCTGGGCTCGGTTTTAATCTTTGTCAGCATCGTCTCGCTTGTGAGTCGAGGCTGAGGTTGGGTCTGTCTGCCCATCCTGGGCATCTCTTCTGCCAGCTGTGCCAGCCCCAGGGCTGCACGTGCGAGCTGCATCAGCGTGGGTGCTGAGGAGGGAGCAGCTCGCACTGCCTGCAAAAGGAGCATGCAGGGGATTTCCTGGAGGGTCAAGCCTCTCTATTTGCACTTATGGGCAAGATGTGCTGTTTATATATATGTGTGTGTGTGTATATGTATATCTTTTCTCTTTTCTGCACTCTTCCTCTCTGCTTTCCCTGGAGAGATCTCCAGTTAAAACCTTAGTCTTCACACCCTGCCTTTCTGCCAGGCCTGGAGCAGAGAGGCTCTTTCCACATGGCCAGTTATCGATCCTCTGCCATTGGCGGTCGTTGCAGAGTCCATGGGAAGGCCTCTGTGTGGAAGCACTTGCAGAGCCTCAGCCTGCTGCATCATGGCCAGTCTCACCACTGCTTTTCCCCATGATGATTCCAGGCTGTGCCCCAACTTGGAGCAGGACATTGCAGATGTCACCTTTGTAGCAGGGAGTGTACCGGGTCCGCAACAACAGGGCTCTGCCTTGCAGGTGATCCCATGGTATCGCTGTAGCCTGCTCGCCTGGCTTCAGTCCGGGTCGGCCGTCAGCCTTCTGGTTAATATCCAACACATCCCATGTGCAGGGAGCCGTGGCCTGGGCTTTATTGCAGGGAGCTGCCTCAAACAGGCTGCCTTTGTGTCTGTGCGTGGTGGTTTATCGAGCATGTAAATGCTGGGCGTTTGGCATAATTGAATTTGCTCGGAGCTTGCGTTTCACTGCTCTGGCTCTAGCTCGGAGCCGCTGGCAGGTTCCAAGAATTCCCTGTGGGAATCTAAAGGCGGGTGGAAAAGCACCATGTTTTGGCGCATGTGCCAGGCTTTGCCTTCCCCCGTAGGTCTGAGCTCACATCTGTGTGCAGCCAGCCCTGTGGTTTGGCTGGGGCGCCAGCTCGCGGGGGCTCTGCCCCGGGCCGCGGTTCCGGAGCAGCCGGGAAGCAGCTGCCCGGCTCGGTGGCCGCCGGCGCCTCGGCCGCCAGCTGGGCGCTCCCGCTCCGTTAGCGGTTCCCGTGCCGTGAGCCACCCGTTAGGAGTGCAGCTCATGGCAGTGCTGGAACGCGTTTGCCCGCAGCACCGCTGGCTCCAATGCCGGGTGAAGTTGGTAGGTGGTCCAGCACTGTTTTTCTCCTCTAGAGTCTACAGGAGCCTTTAGGTCCTGGGGAGCTTTCTCTTCCCACTCCCTGTTGTTTGGATGTGATGCCAAATTTCATTTTCCTTCTCAGAATGAATCCTGGCTGCTGCTTGCAGGGATTCTTTCTTAGCAGGTCTCCGGGCACTGCGAGAGCAGAGTGGAGTTGGCCCTGTCCCATGGCTGGAAGGGAGCAGAGAGGAAGGCTGCTTGGAAAAGAGGCAGAGGGGAGGATTTGGGAGCAATAGTTCTGCACCTTCCCTGTCCCCTATGCCAGCACCTCTGAGCTTTTGCAGGCATCCCTGAGATGAGGGACAAGGCCAAGTCTTGGTGATGCTGCACGTATGGCTAATGTGAGTTTTTTGGTTTTGGTATTTGTCTGATAAGTGTCTTGTGGCATTAGGAGCATGGGAGCCTTTACATGTTCACAGGGCTGAAACAGGATGGAAAGGCAGCGTGTCGCCTGCCTCTGCCTTGAGGCAGAGCTGCCTGTGTGCGAGGGCGGGACAGCATCGTTGCACAGTAGTGGATTAGTTTTTTTTGGTTGTAAAAGGGCAGTGTTGTTTCCTCTTTTACTCACCTCAAGTTATCTCAGTGCCAATACATGTGCCTTGGTGTGCCTTCTCCCCTTACAGTTTACCTGCCAAGCTGATCAATGGAGGGATAGCTGGGCTCATCGGCGTCACCTGTGTATTTCCCATTGACTTGGCGAAGACGCGCTTGCAGAACCAGCAGAATGGGCAGCGGATGTACAGCAGCATGTGAGTACCTGCGCGGGCACCTTCGCCGGGGCTCGCGTGCCGAGTCCTGCTGCCTTGCTGCCACGCTCAGCATTTCCGGACGCTGGGCTGTGCCTGGGAAAGCCAGGGCTTGAAACAAGCTGCTAGAACAAATAAAGCAGCTCTTGAGGCTGCTGAGCTCTCTCAGCAGGTGAGACCTCTGCTGAGGGCATGTCTCTTATTTTGTCTTGTGCTTGGGAGCAGCATGTTCTCTGCTGTCAGCACTGGCCAAAAGGGCAGGAGGGCTCTGGACCAAAATGCAAGGGGCCTGTCTCGCTTCTCTGCTGTGCTGCAGCTAGCTGCAGGAGGGAATTTCTGTCTCTCTCCTGCTTCTGTATCTGTCCATAACTATTGTCCATAACTTTTGGAGACAACAATCCTTTGCTTTACCCTATCAGTCGAAAAAAAGGCCCCATTCCTGGCCTAGGGCACTGCATGCAACACTTCTGAGGGAACACAGATTGGCACACACTGCAGTTTCCTCATCAGTCCTGTATCCAAAAGATCACATGCTGCAGACTGTGAAGGCACAAATGTTCACAGTGCACAGATGTGCCTGTGATTGTGAGAGATGTGGAGGGCTGTGTGTCTGCTGCTAGGGATGTGAGGGAGACTGGCACACCTGGGTAGCATCACTTTAAGCTAATCCCAGGTGGAAGCTGGAGCTCTGGCCACACTTCTTGAGTTTGATGCCTATCAGTGTGTCTCCAACTGCTGCTGTTCAGTCCTGTAGTGGCTGTGAGTGACCCAGTCTCTCTGGGAAAGTGGCGAGAAGTTCAGTACTGTCCCTGGATGGTTCCTCCCTTTGGCCCATTAGGACAGGGAATGTTTTTTCTTGCTCTTTCCCCAGGGGCAGTGTTGCTGCATGAGAGAGGTGCAATATGATCAGTAGATGTGCAATGAGTAGCTGGAGAGACTTGCTGGGCTCCTATAGAAACAGTCTCCAGGGCTAGATCTGCATGCTGTCTGCCTCCAGATAGCGCTGGACCTTCCAGTGTCCTGCCTCAGCAGAAGAGGGGAGGCCACTGAGGAGAGCCCAGGCAGAGCGGGCCGTGTGCTGGCTGCAGGGGCTGTGCTGGAGCGCATGAACACCCGCCTCCCTGGGCCTGCACTGTCGTTTCAGAGCACAGACGAAGATTCTCCTTCCTTTGCCACAGCTCTCAGACTTGTATCCATGTTTCAGGCAGCTACGCTTCCCTTACTACTTAAAAGAACCATTTGTTCCTTAATTACATACACGTGCATGCACGTGCACCCCTTCCCTGCAGCCACAACAAGCACTCGCCCCTTCCAAAAAACCACAGAGCAACTCCTAGGCAGCGGGTGGGAGGCTGGCCTGGGTCCCCGCGCTGCCGTCCTGCGCTGCACATCGCCTGGGTCAGAAGCGCTCGCTCAAAATGCTTTGAACGGTTCCGGTGCTCGGCAGAGTTTTCTAATTAAAAATAAACACAGCTAAGAGAAAAGAAGGTGACAGGTCTCCCCTCAGGCGCTCCCTCCCCAGGGCGACCGGCCTTGTTGCCCGCAGCGAGTCCGTGCGTTAAGAGCAAGCGCTTTTAATCATAGTAGGAGGTCACGGATGACTGAGTGTTCAGGTCAGCTAATGTTTGTGTGCCCTGTGTCACATTTCATGAAGTAAGTCAAGTGTTCTGGGGGTTTGTTCCCCCAGCTTTCCCCCTGCAGAGCCTCATTTAAAAACAGGCGCAAACAGAATATGATTGTTACAGCATCCCATGTGCCTTTGCCAGAGGGGACCCTGGATAAATAGCCCTCGTCGTAACATTTTTCCCTTTTGTGTTAGAAAGCAGACAGCGCGTGTGTAGGGCGAGCCAGGGGTTTCAAAGCCCGGTGAATTAGGGGCTGAAATCCAACTCAAGCTCAAACAATGGCACTTTGAGCAGCTGACGCTGTTCCGTTCTCGGCTCAGGGGTTTGCTGACGGATTGTAAATGAAAACCCCTTGGAGAGATTTGTTTTCTCTGTTCCCACCCTCTTTTGAGCTCCATGGTTTATCTCTCTCTCTGTTTGGCTTGCAGGTCTGACTGCCTCATTAAAACAATCCGGTCAGAGGGCTACTTTGGCATGTATAGGGGTAAGTAAAGCCCAGTCAGGCAACATGCTCCTCCTGCATTGCTTGACTTTTGCTTTGGAAGCCCTGGCTGCATAAGTGGAAGGAAACTCGTGTTCTCTACCTGAGAAAGTAGTATGCTCGACCTGTGAGATGTTGCTGGAGATGCCATAGTGCATCTTGCAGCAGCAGTTTATAAAAATAAACTCAGTGCCAGGTGTCTGCTCAGCTCTCTGCCATCAAAGACTTGAGTCATCTGCATGGCTGTTTTGGTGATAAATCTTGCAGTTTTCCTGAGCCCGACTTTACTGGCAGGTTAAACAAAGCTGCTGGGCTTTGTTCTGGGTCTCTGTGTATGTGTGTGTTTCTCCCATCCTGGACACATAAACTTTTGTCAGAAGGGCAATAGAAAAGCTTGCCATTTTTCAGTGGTATTAACCACTGCACTTCAGTGGTTGGTAACTGAATTCATTCCCAAGCCCATGTGAAACGCCAGCACGGTCAGGCCTGCTGCCCTGTCTGCTTGGTAACTTGTTTCCACATTTGGCTAGTTCAAGCATGCCTCAAGGCTTTGTGCAAGTATAAAGACAGGCTACTTTGCAGGAGAAAAAAAAAAAACAAAAAAACAAAAAAGCCTTTCTACAGACAAAATTCCCTTGGGGCTGACAAAAGGAAAAAAAAAAAAAAAAAAGGAGGATTGGCTCACATTGGACTTCCAGCTGCTTTAGCACTGTGGTTTAACATGCAATAAATCTCCTGGTCCCTTGCTATCTCTTGCAGTAAGGGGTTCCTCAGTTAATGTGACATGTTTCCAAGTATATATACAAAGTCCTGGAAATTTTGTAAAGGTTTGGAGGAGAGAAAAAGCGCAGGCCAAATTCTGACTCTTCTCATAGTAATGGAAATATGGGAAAGCTTCTTGGCCTTCAGCAGAGTCTGGTGGGTTTATCTGACACACAGCCTCTGGTTCTTTTTGTGTATTGGTATGTAACTGCCTGAACGTATAGTTTTTATCTTGCAGGGTTCAGATAGCATTATTTGTGGCATTAATTCCTTGAGAAAGTCAGATTAGAGAACAATGATTAAAGAGGTCCCTGCGGGAGCGATGCCACCGGCAGCGGCTCCTGCCAGCGCCTCCATGTGGACACGGCCTCTGGTGCTGGCTTTCCTAGGAGCCTGTGCTGGCTGCTGAGGCAGTTTCTCCTGCCCAGTTTGTTGGGGGGCGTTTCGGGGGAGTGGGGTGGATGCTGGGGATGGATTGGCTGCTCCGCACCAGCCTCCTGGGAGCACACAAGGCAAATAAGCCGGAGCAACCTGGCAGGCTCCACCCCAGGGTAACTGCACTGCTTCCTCCCTTGCTTTTTCCCAGAAGCTGGCTGCTGCTGCTGTGTTTTTAGTGAGGAACGAAGCCACCGCTCTGTGATTAGTGTCTGCCTAATCCTGCTTGTCACCTCTGATTCCCTCTTGAAGTGGGAGCTGGGTTTGGATAGGGCTTTTGTGAGGAGCTCCAGCTCTTTTGCGGACATCGATTGTCCCTACCACAGGGCCCATGGATCTGTAAGAGGAGAGAGGATGTCTGCCCAGGCCCAGCCATTCCACCCAGCAGCTCCAGGTCTCTTTCATGTGCAAATAAGAGCTTCTGCTGCCGTTGAGAGAGACCTGAGTTTACGGGCTGCTTCTCTTCTCTCATGATATATTACAGAGTGCAAGGGGGCACACCAGTCACTGTGCACAGTAAGCTGCATGGTGTGAAAGGCCGTTCCAACACTGCTCTCAAGCTCTTTCTCTAAAGTTAGGGGTGCTTCTTTTCTTTTTTTTTTTTCCCAGAAAGAGTAGAGGGTTTTCTACAGTTTTCCCATAGTACCAGTAGATAGTAGATAGTAGATTTTCCCATAGTACCGGGCTCAGTTCTGGTAGAAGCCAGGTCCCAGAGCAGGGTGGTACTGAGTACTTGTGCTCAGGCGGTGGCTCTGTGCTGCCATCAGATGTGGTGCCAAGCAAATGAATTTGTGGTTACTCGTGGCTCACTGCACTACATGGACACGAGTGGAGGGGTGTCTGGGAGAGCAGGAGCCCTCCCTCCACCCTGCTGCCGTCCCCTCGTGGGCCAGGAACGCGTGCAGACACACGCTGTGGTGCAGCCCAGCCGTTTGCCTGGCTGTGCAGGAGCCAGAGGACAGAGGGCAAATGCACTTCGCTGCTCGGCGGCACCGTGCCCCGTATACATTCATAACACACTGCTAATAATACCTGCCACGTCATCCCCCAGTTCACACACTGCCTGCCAAAAGTATCCGGGGCTGCCAGGGTCACGCAGAGGTTTTCAGGCTTCGGTGTACCCTGCTAATAGCTGGGGAGTCACGCCTGCAGCGCGCCGATTCCCACCGTGCTCCTTTCCCACCCGGCAGAGGAAGCAGCGCGCGCTGGCGGCTGCTCCACGTCAGCTCTGCGTCACAGCGCTCGTTTTTCTCCCCAGCGAGGGGCTGCAATCTCCAAGCGTGTCGGTCAGGTGCCCAGGGCACTCTGACATCTGCGAGCGCGAAACCCAACCACGGGCAGGAAGTGCAACCCCGAGCGAGCTGCCCCCGAGAGCTCGGCTGCTGCCTCGGGCTTTCCTGCTTTCCTGACTGTCTTTTGTTTCTGACCCCGTCTGCCACTGCTTTAGGTACATATAGCTTTGCCTATAGACTGAGGTTAGTTTTCATTAGGGAAATATATTTATTGGCATAGCTAGAATTTTAAGAGCTACAGTTTTGTACAATGGTAGAAAACACTTTGGAAGGTGCACAGACAACAGCTGAAGTATCTAATTTCTCTTCCTCCAGTGAGTTGAAGCTGTTATGGATTATTGAGGACAGGGATTATCCGTTCTCTGCTAAGCAGCTTTGCAGAAAATATCAAAGATGTAGGAGAAAACCCAGGTTCGTTATGTTTTATGTGTGTACAGTGTTCTTTTCTTTTCCCCTTCTACTTTATTTGCAATTGGAGGAGAAAAAGGATGTGAAAGCCCTCGGTTGCTGGAGGACGTCAGCAAGTGGAATCATGCTGCTCACTTCCCTTTCTTGCTAGTTTTTCCTTCCTTTCTTTATTTCAGTGGACGTTAGAGTAGCAGCTGTGGGGTTTTCTTTTTTTAATTTTGTTCTTTCTCTTCTTATTTTCCCAAAGACGTGACCGTTTATTTGGCATGCAAGCCCTCGTGTTTCACTAATGCCACCCTGAGCAGGCCGCACAGGCCCTTCATTGTGGCAGGCACAATGTGGGGATTTGCCTTCCGCTGCTCTTGGCAAAGCAGCACCTCTGTGGGAGGTGGCAGCGAGGCCTTGTTTATGTCCTGTCCCCAGTGTCCCTAGGGAAATTTGCACTGGCTGCAGCTTGGGATGGACAAGAAGGCACTTGCCAGCCCAACCGAGTGGCTGCTCTGCCAGTGACACCCAGCAAGGACATACATGGATAGTCTCCTAACCCAAAGCGCTGGTGCAGAGCTGGCTGAAGTCTCTGCAGAGCATCTTGGCCTGCCATCTAAATCTTTCAGGGACTCTGGTTTTTGTAGAGCACCAGTGCATGGGTTTGGGGGGTGCTGGATCGGTAGCAGGAAGGCCAGAGGGGGTGTATTCTGCTTTTCAGCTTCACAAAATATTCCCAAAAGAGCTAGGCTGGTTATTTGCCCTCCTTTCTTGAAGGCCTGATCTGCATCCCTCTGAAATTCACAGGAGTGCATCTCCGGGTAGGAGAAAGGGATATGTATATGCATGGTGAGAGGTGGTAGTTGTGAAGCTAAAGAAATTACAGAAAGCCTCTTGCAACTGGAATTGAAATATGTCAGGGGATGTTTGCAGGAAAAAAAGAAGTGTTGGGAGGTAGAAATCTTATTAAACTCCAGTGGTGCTTTATATTTCTAAATCCTTTTGGTGCATTGGGAACTCTTTCCCATCTGATTTTGAGCAGGAGTTACGACAAACTCATGAGCGATCCAGGCAACGGGTGCTTTATTTTCCTCCTCCAGTACTCCTCTCATCTCTTCTTTCCCTAGGGGCTGCAGTGAACCTGACCCTAGTGACGCCAGAAAAGGCCATCAAACTGGCAGCCAATGACTTCTTCCGGCATCACCTCTCCAAAGACGGGTGAGTAGAAGGTGCCGACCTGCAGCACCCAGGGCTGAGGGCCCTGGCGCCCGCTGCAGTGGCAGGGCAAAAGCAGAAGGGATTGATGGCTTCGCTGGAGTGTTAGTCATTCTTCAACCGCTCAGCTGGTGATTGCATTCAAGCTAAGGATATGATGTCTAAAACTGGAAGTGAAAAGCACTTCATTGTAGGACAGCTTTTTCAAGCTTCTAAAAATAAGCCTAGATCTAAGCCAAGGTTAAGAGATCCAGACTTTGCAGGCGAAGTATTTGAGGAGGAACCCAACGACATTGCTCTCTCCTCAGGCAGCTGCTGGGAGGACCTTGTCCTCAGCTTCCTATTGGGTGCTCTTTGGCTCTCCCTGGCTTTTCAGAGACTGTAGCTTGAACAGATGGTGAATCAGGTTCTGCGGATCCAAACTTAGCACCCTTTTGTGTTTTTGTAATGTGGAAATTATTTCAGAGAGGTGAGAAGAAGTCGGGAACAAATTTGTGTTGACAAATGGCACTTGCAGTGTTGCTCAGTAGCAGATCTGTCCATAAATGCTGAAGGAATTAAATTGTCTGTTTAGTTCAGTGGTGGGGGCTGTTGCATGCCAGTTAAATGACACAAAAAGGCACTATTTTGGCAGCACCAAACTGGACCATGAGTAGCTAATGCTGCTTTCACCAAAGCGTTTTCTCCATAATTCAGGGGACACTTGTGTTTCCATTCAGACCAAGAACTCTCTCCAGTGATTGCCAGTGAGGGGTCTAGCAAGGGTGCTCCCTTTGGTCCCCAGCAGTTAGAAAACAGACCGCTTGGGAGGAGACCCTCACTCTTGCCACCAGCAGTGCTGGGGTAGAGCATCCCTGTGAACATAAAGCTCTGCAAGGACTGTTTGATTTCCCGGCTCCCCGTAGCATCCCACATGAGTCACAGCCGCTACGATCACAGCGGCTCAACAAGGGCAGTGGAGTTTAATGATTTACATGGGTTGAGGATCTGGGCCTTTCATATACTCCCTTCTTTTGTTCTGCAGTCCTTTAAAGCAGCAGCTAACATACGTCGGTGTGACTCATCGGCTCGCAGCTGTTGGTGAATTTTCTGTGTCTTCAAATAGTGTCTCCTCTGTACTCGCGCAGACAGTGGGAGGTGATGATGTCCCCACTGCTCCTTGCTTCCTTGGCCCCGATCCCTGCAGCAGCGGCAGTGCCCTGGGCCCTGGCCCTCTGCGGTACCCAGGAGCACTGCAGCACTGCTCTTTGCCAACACCTACAATGTGAGGGCTCAGGAGGCTGTACAGGGAGAAAGAAGGAGAGGATGCTAAGCTGTCAGACCTTGCGCCCTCAGTTTTGTTGAAAGGCTGACCCGTGGAAGAAATTAGACCAGCATTGTGATACATCTGGTTTTCTGCAACTGCTGCCCTGAGGAGCAACTGCTGCCCTGAGGCTTCAGCCATTGAAAAGCTGGTAGCTGGTAGTAAAGCTCCTGCAGGTACTGCGCGATGCTGTGGTGATGGGCGGCTTTAGGTGTTTCTAGGTAGAAGCAGCACTCCAAGATAAAATGGGAAACAAAGCACTTTGCAAGCTGGATGTGACTGCAGCCAGCAACAGTGCTTTTCTGGCTCAAATTGCTGCAAAGGTCTCCTAGATGTGTTTGACTTTGAACACCTTCATTGCTAAGCTTCCTTGCTTATCTTGAAATATGTCCAATATGAACTGGAGATCCTTGTCTGATAAAGTGCACAGGTTTTATCAGTATTTGCTGATTAAAAATTGCTGAGCCTATGCTGCACATACAAGTGGAAGAAGCACGTTCGAGCAGAAGGGAGTGTGGCAAATACAATGTGACCCAAAATAGCCTCACGTTACACAACAGCTTTAGTGTGCCTTGTTGTTATTATTTTTGAGAAACTCAATGTTGAAAGGAATCTCTCTTTAAACTGCTAGGAAAAAAAAAGGCATAAATCCCACTTCAAAAAGGCCAATGTATACAGGATAGGAAGCTCCAGGCTATAAATTGCTGGAAGAGCAATTTGGGATTTATCTCTGCAGGTCTGTGTTAGGCTCCCTTTGCTCTGGCCAAGCTTTTGGATGCACCCGGAGGTGATGTACCAACGTACCTGGATCTCACATGGGATCTGGTACCCCTGTGAGTACCCTCACCCTCCTAGCTCAGTTCATGCAATGTCGTCATGCCCTGGGACCTGCCTGAGTGGACAGTCCCCCTTGTAGAGCACTTTCCCATCCTCTTGGTACAAACCGGGGTGTGTGTTCACCCGCAAGAGCACTATGATGACCCACTTTGAACTCCTGGTTTGGGGAGGAAATGAGACTTACTGTGTTGGTCCTGCTGTGCTCTCCCAGCAAGTTTGGAACGAGGACGTCTTGATGAGTTGTCTTATTAGTGTCAACCCCTTGCTGAGCCTTGGAGGAAAACTTGAGATACGCAGAAAACACAAGGGAGAGCCCTTGTCACTGACTGGAAAAGGCATTAGCCTAGCATGGCCCTGTGATTACTTTGGCGTGATGGTCTTTGCAGTTCCCAAAGCAGTAAGGCAGAAGAGGTGACCTGCACAGTAGGCTTGATGCTGGTCCTCATTGCTGGGGTGCTTATGCCCCATCCTGCCTGACACATTTCCTAAAAGGTGGTTCCTTTAAAGAGTCCTACACAGTTTCAGGTTTATATCTAAAGTGTTGAGTGCTGGACAGCTTTTGTATTTGGTGTGTGTCTGCCAGTCTTGTTGCTCGTTTTTAGGTTTTTGGTTAAATACCCTGCCTCGGCTGCAGTAAAAAGTGGCTCATGGCTTGCTTTTAAAATAAAGTTCTAGTTCTTAAGAGATCCCCAGGGTCCTTGGATGACTTCCTGCTGCTCTGCTCTGAGGTGAGAGATACTGTGGCAATTTCCTCACCTCTCCTGCCCTCTGTAGTCTTGACCTTCATTTTGTTTGCTGTTCAGGAGCAAAGGCTGACATGCTGCTGACTCAGCAGCCCTGCTCCTAGCAGGACCAGCACTTTTGCATTGTTTCTTTGCTGATTCCAGCAAATTTCAACCTCCCCCCGCTCTTTTCTGCTTTCCTCTGAAAAGAGAAATAGCCTGTGTTCCCAGAGACAAGCAGGGGATGTCCAGACACTCCTTTAATGCTGATAACTTGTCTCTGATGCACTGTGGCTTGGAAGAGGATGCAGTGCTGCCTGGGGAACATGTCCCTGTCTGGCTGCCACTGGGCTGCCCTGCTCTGCAGTGTGTCAGCCCCATGCGTGTAGCGAAGGCCTGCTACTGAAATTGGTATAAGCCACGTGTCCTCTCTTGGCTCCGGCCTCCCCAGGAGCCTCCTACAACTTGCTGGATGGAGCAGCCAGAGGCAGCAGCCATCTGATGAGTAAGCAAGCCAAGGATGGAGGTCTTTAGGGTAGCACCAAGAGGGGTTGGGCAGCGTTGCACGGGGCCTGGGGGACACTTTCCTGGTTGCCTTTTGCAATGTAGATGTGCAGATATTAATGTATGACTTTGTATGGGAGTTTCCTTAGGCAAACTCACCATGGGTCCTGCCTAATCTGCCTAATCCACGCTGGCAGGTTTTAGTCCCTCCCCAAGCACAGGCAGCTCGTGGGGATGACATTTTTCAGAAGCTTTTGCAAAAATCCTGTTCTGCTCCTGTTTGGCATTGATATATCTGTGCTTGCAAAGGTCCTAACTCTGGACTGATATATTGCTCTTGGGAAACTCTCCATAAATCTTGGGGTCTTTTGCTTAGGTTCTTGCTGCCTTGTCCTATTTTTCCTCTCTAGTTTGAAATTCAGTTCTAATACAGTATGAATCTTTTCCCTCTTCCCATTAGCAACCTAATTCCAAAACAGTTAAGCTGAGTGAGAGGTTTTGATCACTGCAGATCTGGAACTATTGCATATGTTATGTATTGTTTTTTTAATATTGAATACCCTCTTGCTGCGGTGAAGGACAGTGATAAAGGCCAGCGGCCGCGCTCGTAGCTCCGGCGTCCTGCTGCCTTAAGGTATTCCGAGATGCGCCAGTTTTTCAGCTCGTCAGGCCTGCGCCGCATTAATATTTCAACCCCTTCTGTCATCTAGAGACGAACCAGCTTAAACCGCCTCGCATCTCTGTGGCACTGAGGCGGGCGCGGAGGCAGCCGCTATGTTTAGCCCGGTAATCCCCGCCGCGGCTTTGCACCTCTAATCCCGCGCGCAGGGGCAGGCGCTGAGCCCAGCCCAGCTGGCGCGCGGGGCCGAGGGCGCGCGGGCAGCGGCCGTGCGGCGAGGGGCACGCGCTGCATCCGTGCGCCGCGCTGCAGGAGCGGGCGTGGGAGGGCGGAAAATAGCACTTCTGAGGGCATTGCATCCGAAGCAAAAAGAAAGAGCTGGGGGATTAAACACACGCTTTTTTTTTCTCTCCTGTTAAGAGCAAACCGGTCTGAGTCCCAAAACACTGACAGCAGCTTTATGAAGATGCTTGCTTATGATAGCTTTTACACTTTATTATTTTCCTTTTTTTCTTTTTTTAAATCTAGTCAGCAATCTCCGATACGAAGTGTGATAATCTAGAGACAATAGTGAGTGGTTTTTCTTAGGGAGCAAGAGCTCACCAGTTCCCCAGAATTGAGCCCTGCTGATCACTTGTGCCCTGGGCTCCCTGTGCTGATCCCATGGCCCTGGCTGTGCCGGCTCAGTGAGCAAGGGGGGATGGCGGGTGGGAGCTGTTGGTGGCTGCGTGTCGGGGTGCAAGATGTGCCTCCAGCAAGCTCTGCCAGGCAGGGAGGCAGGAGATGGTGAAAAACGAAAAGTGGCGCCAAAAAACAAAAAAGGGAAGGGAGGGGATGGCACAAAACCGGGGTCCAGCCACCTCCTCCAACTGACCCCAGCTCTTCTCTTTCTTTTCTCGGGCAGGAAAAAGCTGACGCTGCTGCGGGAGATGCTGGCGGGCTGCGGAGCTGGCACCTGTCAGGTGATTGTCACCACCCCCATGGAGATGCTCAAAATCCAACTGCAGGACGCAGGGCGAATCGGTACGTTTTGCTCCTCTTCTCTCATGCATTGTTGGGGGCAGAGAAACCTGGGGAGAAGAAGTGGGAATGAGCATTAAAGAAAACACAACCCACCTTTTTTTCTCCTCTGCACCCAAACTCAGAGCTTTCTCAAGCTGTGGCAGAAGTTTCTCCTTCCCTTCCCAGGTCATCCCCCTCCCTTTGCTCTCCAGGCCTTGCCGGGAGGCTCTTCTGGTTGCCAAAGATGGTCTTTGCTCGAAGCAATAGGCTTAGTGAGTGAACAGTGAAGAGCGAAGTAGCAAATGCTGGTGATAGAGGGGAAAAAAGAGCTGGAAGAGATGACTGCGTATTCAGCTTGTGACTAACTAAAATTCAGTGGCACGTAGTCCAGAAGGGATTAGATACTATGTTGGTGGCCCTGCCAAAACTCTGGCAAACAGGCCAATTTGCCCTCTAATCCCTCCTCTGATGTGGCATTCCTGAATAATCACGGATTTGCTTTTCTTTCCTCTCTTTGCAGTTTTTAATGCAGTCCTTATCCTCTTTGTGTGTATTATTTTGAAAGGGTTGAAGGAATTAAGCCGTGGTTTGAGGGTTCAAAAGAGGTTGTTGCTGCCGGGAGCAGCCTGTTCCGTGCGGGGCAAAGGACCTGCTGTGTCCCCGGGCGGCTGGAGCATCGCTGCAGGTTGATGTGCTCTCCATCTTCTGGCCAAACAGCAGAAATACAGCAGGGTTTGAAAAGGCTCCTGCGAGAAACCAACTCGTGTACACAAATCTGGGGTCCCTGGTGCAACCGAGGAACAACCTGAGTTATTGGTTGCTTTTGAGGGAAGGGAATAAAGAGCAGAAGTGTTGAAGCTCCCTTATTTATGCGTATCTTCAGCTTTTCCCACTGAGCTCAGGGCTGTAGCTGGAAGCACATCCTCTCTTTAATGCCTCATTGTGGCAGCTCTTCTCCACACCGCAGAGGCAACCCCTCCTTGGTAGAAACGGTCAGGTAGGACAGTGCAGCTGTGGCGTGTAAGAGCCAGCTGCGGGCATGGGACACTGGCCTCCAGCTGCGTGGTATAAGCTGGCGGGGTGCAGGGTCGGCCTTGGCCTGTGCCAGGGGTGTCTCTCCTGTGCCCCCGCGGTCGGTGCCAGGCTGACAGCGCCTTGCCGACCGGCGCTCTCTCTGTCTGCTCGCAGCGGCACAGAAGAAGCTGATGGCGGCGCAGCTCTCGGCCACGGCGGGCGCAGCGGAGCCCGTGGTGGAAGCGCGCACCACCGCCACGCAGATAACCAGGGAGCTGCTGCGGAGCAAAGGCATCGCGGGGCTCTACAAGGGCCTGGGAGCCACGCTGCTCAGGTAGGACAGCGCCTCCGAGTGCCCTAAGGGCCTCATCACCCAAGGGTGTGAGGGTCAAAAGGACTTGGTGGGCTCTGGGTCTGGCTTTATTTTGTGTGCACGTGTCACAGGCTGGATCACTCATCTTGTCCTCTCTCCTTCTTTTGCCCACGCTGCAGAGATGTCCCATTTTCCATTGTTTACTTCCCGCTGTTTGCAAACCTGAACAAGCTGGGCCAGAAGGACCCTGACGTCAAGGCCCCGTTCTACGTGTCCTTCCTCTCGGGCTGCGTGGCTGGCAGCACGGCGGCCGTGGCCGTGAACCCGTGCGACGGTGAGTCCTGTGCTGGCGGCCCTGCACCCAGCGGCAGCCGCCGAGAGGCCTTGCTGGGCTGGGCGAGGAGGGGTGGCCAGGCCGGCCTCTCTGCAGCACACGGGGAGGGACAGGAGGGGAGCTTGGCCCCAACCCAGAAGTCTTGCCCCTGGCTGAGCTGTAACTTCAACCCCTGCTTACAGACGTGCCTGTGGTCTTCACTAAGCGAGTTGGGCAGGGGTGAAGCCCACGTCACGCACCAGGGATGGCTGTGAACACGCCTCCAAAGAGGGCATGTTTGTGTGTGGAGTGATCGTATGTGAAGTGTTTACACACCAGGAAAAGGTCACCTACAATCACGGGGAGAGTCAGAGCTGTGGCTGGGTTCTCTATTCTGCAGCAGCTGCCTTAAATACCACCACTTGGCATGTTTGCTGTGAACTCCACCCCCCAGAAAGTAGCTCCTCTGACCTTACCACAACACGTGTTTCTCCTTCAAAGTGTGAAGAAGTTGAAGAGCAGCATCAATTATCTGTATTTTAGATCATTCAAGCTGCCTTTCTCTCTCCCCAGTGATCAAGACGCGGCTGCAGTCCTTGCAGCGAGGCGTAAATGAGGACACGTACTCGGGAATCCTGGACTGCACCAAGTAAGACTCCGCACGAAGCAGGTCGGCACATCCCGTGTTCGGCCTCTGCTGCTGCCGGCTCCAGGCCTCTTGCCTGTTCCTAAATGTGTCCAAATACAGAGATGTACCTACGTGTACAGGGATGGGCTGGATGCTGAGCTGCCTGTGCTGTCTCTTTGCAGGAAGATCTGGCAGAAGGAAGGGCCCTCGGCCTTCTTCAAAGGGGCCTACTGCCGAGCCCTGGTCATCGCCCCCCTCTTCGGCATCGCGCAGGTCGTCTACTTCATCGGCATCGCGGAGTTCCTCCTGGACCTGCTCCCGAAGCACCGGGCCTAGCCCCGGGCGCCTGCGTGCGCCCGCCCGCCTGCTGCCACGCCGAGTCCGCCCCCGTGTCCGTCACCCGTGTCGATTGGTGTCAGAGCAACAGCACAAAGGGTTTGCGCGGGAACGCCGAGGGGACGTGGTCTCCAGACGAGCCAAGGCGGGAAGGGAGAGAGTCCCTTCTCCGTCCCCAGCTGGAGCCAGCCCCCTCCGGCTCCTCCCAAGGACAATACCTAGTTATACATATCTCTTTTTTTTTTCCTTTTTTTTTTTTTTTTTTTTTAATTTTTTAACTGTCGTTCTTGAGGACACTAGTAAGCACAGGCTGGGCTTGCAGCCCTAGAGATCTCCTCCCAGCCTTGGCAGGGAAGAGAGATGGGAAAGAAAGAACCTGAGCCCTCTCCGTCTCTTGCCTTCCCCGGGGTTATCTGCAGTCCGAGAGCTTGGCCCCCTTAGGGGCGCCGGGTTGTGGGGCGCTCGCCAAGGGAGGCCCCACGTCGCCCAGGGAGCGGGAGCGGATGCTGGATCTGGCCAAGTTCCTTGGCCAGAAACCTTCACCCTTTCTCACTCCCTCGCTCGAAGACGAGCTGGACTTGGGTGAACTCCCTGGAGCTGAGAGGCAGGGAAGGAGGACATTGCTGTGTTTCTGTGATTACTTTTGTCTTAAAGCAAAGGGATTTCCCTCCCAGCTAGGTGTCACGGGCATGTCCAGATGAGGTGCAGAGATGAGGCGTCTGCCCTGCAGGGACCATTTCTGTGGGACCTCCTGCGTGTCCCGTGGTGCTTCACTGCTCAGCTACGGGCAGGGGAGAGAGGAACTTGGGATCAACTATTTTTTTTTTCTTTGACTTTTTTTTTTAAATAGAGGATGTAGGATGGGGAAAACCAAGCGAAAAGAAACCACTTACATTCCTATGGGCCTGCCCAGCCCGGAGGCGGTTACCTGTGTCTCCTGCCCTCGATGGCTCCCTCGTCTCGCTGCGCTCACTGCCCTGCTCGCAGGGAGGGCAGGGAAGAGGAGAGCGGATGGGGGAGCCATTCCCAGGGCCCGAAGGCCAAGAGACACCCTGGAAACGCTCCGCTTCTGCTTTCAGCTTGCGTGGGCTGGGTCTGGTTTTGCTTTGACATTGGGCCGGGCATTCAGAGCTGGCTGGGAGCGCCGAGGCCGGAGGATTCCTGTGCCCCAGGCGAGGAGCCACGGGTGGACCTGCGGGTGCAGGAGCGAGTGCCCCGGGTGGCCGAGGCTCAGCGTCCGCTCGCTCCTCAGAAGGGACGGTTGGGTTCAGTGGCAGGGGCAGGTCCGTCTGTTCTGTCAAAGGGATATTGGCCAGCTATAAAAAATCACTTGTTGAAGAAATTCCTCATTAAGTACTTTCTTTGGCTATGTTGTTAATCTAGTTTAAATTATCCTAAGCACGAGATCTACAAACCCAGCAGGGCCATCTCCGTTATTTATTCCATTCGGTGCAATCCACCCAACTTTGGTGTTTCAATTAAACTGGTCAAACTCTCTTTCATTCCTTCTTCTCTTCACTTGTTTGATGTTTGTGTTTCAGATGTGTATTTAAATTAATTTAAAAAGAAATCAGTGTTTTTAATGTGGAAAAGAAAACTGTTTCAACATATTTGGGGTATTTTTTCATTTCAAAACCTGTGTGTTGAGGACCTTCTTCCTAAATACGTACGTCCCTCTTGTCTTAGAAGAAGCTGTCGCGTGGCTGGTTTGTAGCTTGTCACTTGGCTTATGTGAATCGCTTTCCTTCGTTTTTGTTTCTTTTCCAAACGACTCTGGTGTGTGTCTGGGGAGGAACCCGTGCAGCGCCGCGCTCCGGTTCGGCCGGCTCTCTGTCGCGTGTGTAGTGCTGTGATGCTGCTCTTGATCTCCTTAGGTGGATTAAAAGGAAGTGTTTTCTTAAGGTGCCTTTTTCTTTTCTCAGAGACACCCTGCAAGTAATGCGGGGTGTTTTGCACGTGGCTGGCTGTGCTCTGGCCCGGGGCTTGTGTCGTGGCGCCGGCTCCAGGCCCCGCGGAGCGCTGGGGACCTTTGGGAGGAAACGTCGCTGCAGGTGAGAGCTGCCGGGCGGGAGGGCACCCGCTGCCTGTCGCGGCCCCACCGAGGCAGTGAGCACTGCCCGGCCGTGCTGGGGCTCTGCGTACCCCCCCGAGACCCCTGTTGGAGCTGTGGCAGCCCCGGGGCTCCCAGAGGGGAGCTGCCTCGCCAGGCAAGGGAGCTGGGGCAGCAGGCAGGCGGCCCGCACGGCAGCCGGCTCCTAAGGGAGAGGAGGGCTCCGTGGGTGCCACCCGCCGTGGCGGAGGAGCTGCGGGTGGCTCCGTGCCCTGTGGAACAGTTAACCACAGCTCTGCAGGAGAGGAAGGCTGGGACCTGCCTGCTCCTGGTGTGAGGAGAAAGGCTCTTGCTCCTCCTTGGGACTTGCGGTGATGGACAGGTTCAGTGCCCTCCACACTGAGGAGAATCTCACCGTGGCTTCAGGTGGAGCTACCGGGCTGATGATCCCTATGCCACGCAGGAACATGGGGAGGAAGTGGTGAGCTGGGGGGCCTCCTGGCTGCAGGGAATGGAGGCAATAGTGCCAACCACAACTTGGGAAGTACCAGGGGAATTTCAGAGCTCTGGGGATGGTGTGAGGGACCTGGGGGCCCAGGTGGTTTTCTCCTCAGTCCTGCTAGTGAGGAGGAAGGCAGGAAGGAGAAGTAAAGGGATGCTCCAAGTAAATAGTGTCTGCATCATTGCACTTGGCAACAGGGTTTTGGTGTGTAGGATCACGGGACCTTGTTTGAAGACTGACAAGTAATTGGGAGAGATGGGAACCACCTCTTTAAATGGAGCATGCCTCTTTGCCAAGGGGCTGGCCAACACGGTAAGGAGGGGAAAACTAGGGAAGATGGAGACGGGGGGAAGGGAGGGTTGTAAAAACTGCAGTCAGCAAAACAGTTGCAAGCCTGAATCCCTCCCTGAAGTGCCGCTACACAAACGCACACGACATGGGATAATCCACGAGAGGAGTTAGGGATCCGTGTGCGGCTGCAGGGCCGTGACTGCCTTGCGGTTACGGGCACTTGGCGGGACAGCTCGCGGGACTGGGGCGCTGCCGGGACCATGGACGTGCTGTTCGGAAGGACAGCGCAGGAAGACGAGGAGAGAGGTGAGAGCGACGGGCCTGGACTGAGCTCTGCCTGGCCGTGGATGGTGAGGGGCAAGAATTAAAGGGGGGGCTGCCATGGGAGATGCTATAGTTGGTGTTTTCTTTCTGACACGGGAGCCCGCGAGGGGCTGTGCACGGCTGGCCCTTGTGCCAACAACCAAGGAAAGGTCGGTGGGAGATGAGAAGGGACAGCCTTGGCTGCAGCGAGCCCGAGCTGAGGGCAGTCAGACCCTGCAAGGAGCAAGCAGGGCAATAACTAGGGTTCCCACTGCTGGACAGCGAATTCTGGCCTCCTCAGGGACTTTCTTGGAAGAATCCCATGGGATAGGGCCCTGGAAGAGGGGTCCGAGAGAGCTAGTCAATATTCATGCATTGTGTCCTCAAAGTTCAAGAGTGGTGGAGGCTCCAATGAGTCAAGCAAAGGGGGCAGGAGCCCTGCACCAGCAGAGGAGGAGGTGTTGGAGCAGGATGTTCCCAGGGGATAGAAGCAGTGACGGGCTGCGGCTGGAGCATTGTAGGAATGTCTTCCCTGTGTGCAGGAGCGAGACACGGAAGGCTGCAAGGAAAGAGGCCGTGGCACCGAGTGGACAGCCCAAGAAGCTGGGAGAGCAGCTCGGGAGAGGGCGAGGGAAGGGAGATGAGCGACAAATAAAGTAAAATAACAGGCCTTGACTCTGCTTTGAAGGGGGGTTTGAAGGGTTTGCCAAAATAGCTTGGGAATAAAGGGAAAGCTTTCTAGCAAGCAAAAAGGGAAAAGATCGCAAAGGGGGGAAAGAAGTAGGAATAATGAGGAAATAGGGGGAGAAGTACCTAGATAAGCAGAGGGGGAAAAAAAAAAAAAAAAAAAAAAAAGCAGGAGATTCTGTAGGAACTAAGGCAGAAAGATCCAAGGAAGGCGGAGGTGCTCCTTCTGCAACTGCAACACGGAGAGCGCCAGCAGAGCCAGCGGGGCCACTGCTACAGCACAAAGAGACAGCCCGGACAGGGAAGCCACTGCTTGGGAAGCAGAATGGAAAAATGCTAGAAAGTAAAAAGCGGGAGAGGTGTTTTCTTTTGTCCTAGGAATTTCCTTTCCGCTCTGCCCCGCTCCCCTTGCTTTTTTTTTTTCCCTTTTAGGAAAGGAAAATACCTCAAGAGAGGAAAGAAAAGGGGTTTTGTTTTAAACGCAGGTGCATGGAGGCAGATGCCTAGAAAGCGTGATTCCTAGAAAGCATAGTTTCTGAAAAGCACAATGGGGAGGCCTTTTTGCTATCTAGGAATTATACTTTGGAGGAAGCATATGCTTTTTTTTTTTTTTTTTTTTAATTGGGAGTAGAGCCAGATTCCTACTAAATAGAATTCCTAGAAAGCAGAAATCCTAGAAAGCAAAATGCTTAGAATGTGAAATGCCTAGAAAGTGTAATTCCTAGATTGCATTATTCCTAGAAAGCAAATGCCCCAACTAGGAATTTCTAGGAATCACGCTTTCTAGGAAATCTGTCTCTTATTCCCTTGGGGGGTAATCCTAGAAAGCAAATATCCTAGAAAACAAACAAAATCCTAGAAAGCAAAATTCCTAGAAAGTGTAAATCCTAGAAAGCAAATTCCCTCAAATGTACTTTCTAAGAATCATGCTTTCTAGGAATTCTATTTGCTAGGAAAATGCAGCTATTCCCCATGGAGGGGAAAAAAAAAAAAAAAAAAAAAAGAAAAAAGAAAAGAAAAGAAAAGAAAAGAAAAGAAAANAAAGAAAAGAAAAGAAAAGAAAAGAAAAGAAAAGAAAAGAAAAGAAAAGAAAAGAAAAGAAAAGAAAAGAAAAGAAAAGAAAAGAAAAGAAAAGACAGAAAAAAGGCTCCTAGATCCTAGAAAGCATAATTCCTGGAAAGCAGAACTCCTAGAAAGTATATTTCCATGAAAACATATTCCTAGAAAGCATTTTTCCCCCTAGTCTTCTTTCTAGGAATAATGCTTTCTAGGAATTTAATTTGCTAGGATACTGCCTCTATTCTCCCTCTTAAAAAAAAAAAAAAAAAAAAAAAAAAAAAAGGTCATAGTTCCTAGAAAGTGTAATACCGTGAAAATGTAATGCCTAGAAAACATAATTCTTAGAAATCATATGTCCTAGAAAGTGTAATACCTAGAAAGAATAATGCCTAGAAGGCATAATTTCTAGAAAGCATAATTCCTAGAAAACAAATTTTCTAGAAAGCGTAATGCTTAGAAAGCATAATTCCTAGAAAGCAAATATCCTAGGAAGCATAATACTTAGAAAGCATAATTCCTAAGAAAGCAAAATTCCTAGAAATTGTAATTCCTAGAACGCAAATTTCCCCCTACTCTGCTTTCTAGGAATAATGATTTCTAGGGTTTCATTTTGCTAGGAAAATGCTACTATTCCCAAGGGAAACAAACAAAAACCTAGAAAGCATAATTCCTTGAAAGCAAAATTCCAAGACAGCATAATAATTAGAAAACATAATGGCTAGAAAGCATAATTGTTACAGAGCTAGATGATGTAATACCTTTTTTTTTCCTAGATGGTGTAATACCTAGAAAGTGTAATGTCTAGAAAGCGTAATTTCTAGAAAGCAAAATTCCTAGAAAGTGTGATTCCTATAAAGTGCAATTCCTAAGAAAGCAAATTCCCACTCCCGACTATGCTTTCTAGAAGCCATGCTTTCTAGGAATTCTATTTGCTAGGAATCTGCCTATAGTCCCCCTGGAAAAAAAAAAAATTTTTTTTAAAAAATCATAGATAGCATAATTCCTAGAAACTATAATTCATAGAAAGGAAAATTCTTAGAAAGCAGAATTCTTAGAAGGAATAACTCCTAGAAAGCATGATTCCCAGAAAGCATGTTGGGGGGGAATTTGCTTTTTAGGCATTATGCTTTCTAGGGAATCACACTTTCTAGGGATTTTGCTTTCTAGGAATTATGCTTTCTTGGCATTACACTTTCTAGGAAATTTGATTTCCAGGAATTATCCTTTCTAGGAATTATGCTTTCTCGACCTTATATTTTCTAGTTATTATTCTGTGTAGGAATTTTGCTTTCTAGGAATTATGCTTTCTAGATTTTTTTTTTTTTTTAATGGGGAATAGTGGCATTTTCCTAGCAATTTGAATTCTTAGAAAGCATTATTCCTAGAAAGCAGAGTGTAGGGGGGAATTGCTTTCTAGGAATTGCGCTTTTGAGGAATTACGCTTTCTAGAGATTTGCTTTCTAGCATTTTTGCTTTCTAGGATTTTTCTTTTGGCCATGGGGAATAGCGGCATTTTCCTAGCAAACAGAATTCCTACGAAGCATGAGTCCTAAAAAGCACATTTAGGGAAACTTTGCTTTCTAGGATTTGCTCTTTCTAGGAATTTTGCTCTCTAGGAATTACGCTTCCTAGGAATTTTGTTTCTAGGAATTATGCCTGCTAAGATTTCTTTTTTTCTTTTTTCTTTTTCCTTTCAGGGGAGAATAGATGCTGTTTTCTAGCAAACTGGAATCTTTAGAAAGCATTATTCCTAGAAAGCATATTTGGGGGAACAGTGCTTTCTAGACATTATACTTTCTAGGAATTACACTTTCTGGTGATTTTGCTTTCTAGGAATTATGCTTTCTAGGCATTACGGTTTTCTGATTGTTACACTGTCTAGGAATTTTGTTTTCTAGGAATTATGCTTTCTAGGATTTTTTTTTCCAGGTAAAATAGAGGTAGTTTCCCAGCAAATTGAATTCCTAGAAAGCATTATTCCTACAAAACACAATTGGGGAATTAGTTATCCAGGAATTACACTTCCTAAGAATTTAGTTTTCTAGGAATTATGCTTTCTAGACATTACACTTTCTAGGGAATTTGCTTTCTAGGAATTATGCTTTCCAAGCATTACTTTTTCCTAGATAGTACACTTTGTAGGAATTTTGCTTTCTAGGCATTATTCTTTCTAGGATTTTTTTTTTTCCCCCTGGGGGCTGGGATAGAGGCAGTTTCCTAGCAAATTGAATTCCCAGAAAGTATTATTCCTAGAAAGCAGAGTTGGAAGGAAAAGTGCCTTCTAGTAATTACGCTTTTGAGGAATTACACTTTCTAGGGATTTTACTCTCTAGGAATTACGCTTTCTAGGCATTGTGCTTTCTAGGAATTATGTCTTCTAAGTGGGGAGGGGGCGGATGGAGCAGAGTCCTAGCAAACTGTGTTCCTAGAAAGCATAGGTGGGCATCTTGCTTCCTAGGAATTACCCTTTCCAGGAGCTGTGCTTTCCAGATTTTTTTTTTTTTTAAGGGTGAGAGCATGGAGTCAAGTTCCTAGAAAGGAGATGTCCCAGAAAGCAAATTTTCTAGATAGCCTTAGAAAGCCTAATTTGTTTATTTTTTTTTAACTTTCTAGGATTTTTTTTTCTAGGTTTTATGTATTTATTTAAAAAGGGAGACTTTGTAGCAATATTCCTGGAAAGCAAAGTGCCTAGAAGGCATAATTCTTAATTTCATAGTTGGGTAGAAGTTTTACCTTGTAGGCACTTTGCTTTCTATGAATTTTCCTTTCTAGTTTTTTTTTTTTTTTTTTTTTTTTTTTTCAGCCAGATGAAATGGACTGGATATCCTAGAAAACATAATGCCTAGAAAGCACTATTCCTAGAAAACAAAATTAAATGGCCATTTTGCTTTCCAGAATTATGGTTCCCAGATTTTGATGGGGAGGGGGGAGATGGTGGAATGAAATTCTTCCTGGAAAACACAATTCTTCGAATGCAGAATTGCATGGCTATTTGCCGTTCTAAGAATTAGACTTCTCATTTCCCCCCCCCCCCCCCTTTTTTTTTTTGGTCAAAAAAAAAAAAATCAGGTCAAATGGCTACAAAGCATAATTCCTAGAAAGCATAATTGGGGGGCAATTTTGTTTTCTAGGATTTTTTAATTCATTGGAAGAGGTTCATTTCCTGGAAAGCATAATTCCTGGCAGGAAACCAACCAAACAAGACCACCAACCTGTTACGGGCTAGGAATTGCGGTTTCCAGGGCTTTCTTGCAAAGCCATATCCCAGCTAACAGCAGGAGGCAAAGCCTAAATGATAAGTTCTTGACTGATTGCTGTAAATCAAAGGGCAACTTTCCTAGAAAAAAAAATGATTATTTTTTTCTACTGGAAAAGAGGGATGTTTTCCTGTTGACTGAGAGAATTTCCTGGTGAGCCTCATGGGACGCCCGTAGAAGCCAACGGTGTGAAATCCACGCAGACACAGGCCTAGAAAGTAAAATCTCCTTGAGAGACAGCTTAAAATTCATAAGGCAGCCCTAGAGGAAGTCGTAATGTGCAAGTGGGCAAAATTCCTGGAAATAAAGGGGACTGTTTCCTAGGAAACAAGCGATTTCCAGCAGGGCGGGGCTGCAGGTGCAGCTCCTGGGGGACAGGGCCCCGCGCCGGGGAGCGTCTCGCCCTGCGAATGGCTTCCCACGGAGCCGGGGAGGGAGGAAGAGCCAATTCTTGGAAAGGGAGATGTGAAAGCGCCGGGCCCTTCCCTCCTGTAAGTGTCCGCTCCACTCCTGGGTGCAGCCACATCCCTCATCCCAGCGCGGGGCTCTCCCGCTTCGCAAAACTCCCGCAAATCCAACTTTTAAACATTATTTTGTGCGCTCTGTGCTGCTCTTTCCCCCTTCGCTCCCCGCCTCTTGCCGGGTCTGTGTGGGGCGAGCGGGTCCCCACAGGCCGCAGCTGCAGCCGCCGGCTCCGGCCGCTTCCCCTTTCCTGCCCGCGGGGATTTCAGGCGCCCGCGGGGCCTCCTGCACCCAGGCAGCTTTCCCCTGGCCGCGGGGGAATTTGCACCATGTGGCGGCTCTAGAAACTAAAAGGCTTCACAAAAGAAGAAGGAAAGACCTTTTTTTTTTTTTTTTTTTTTTTTTTTTTTTTTTTTTTTTAAGGAGAAAAAAAAAAGACAAAAAGAAGAAAAACGAGTGGAGGGAGATTCCTCTCGCTCCTTGCGGCCGCCCCGGCAGGCCCTGGGGTCCCGGGTTTGGGGGTTATTTGTTTTATTTTCCTACCCGCCCTGGTGTTTACGGTGGCGCCGCTCCCGCCCCGACACCCGAAACCGGCGGTTTCGCTCGTGGGCGGCAGCGCAGGAAAAGCGGCTCCTGCGTTTTTCCTGCGGGAAAACGCCCTAAACGCTGCCCTGCCGCGGGCAGGCGCCGGGGGGCTGCGTTGGGGCCCCACGCACGTGTGGGGCACGCGGGGGCAGGTGCCGCTTCCCTGCAGCCCCGCGGCTCCCTCGCTCCCGCTGCTTGCGGCGCGCGGAGGCCGCAGCCGCCCTTTCAGTTTCAGGGAGCGCACGTGGTTTCCAGGAAAGGCGCCACGGGAGAGCGGGAGGCCGCGCCGGGCGGCGTGGGGAGCCTCCTCCGCGCCCCGCTATAAGGCGGCGCCGCAGGCGGGGAGCAGGCGGCAGCGGCGCCCGGCTCCGGCCATGGAGCGGCAGGGGTGAGGAGAGGCCGGCAGGAGGAGCGGGGGAAGGCAGGGGATGGAGGGCTGGGATAAGGCGAGGCCGGCAGGAGCAGTGGGGCGGGCAGGGGGGCCGCGCAGCAGAGCCGCTGCTGAGGGGCCGCCCGCGCAGGCAGCAGCAGCAGCTGCGCTTCGGGCCCTGGCTGCTGGAGGCCGTGAGCAGCGGGCAGTACCCGGGGCTGCGCTGGCTCGACGGCGCCCGCACCGCTTTCCGCGTGCCCTGGAAGCACAACGCCCGGAAGGACGTCTCCAGCAGCGACGTGCAGGTCTTCAAGGTAGGTGCCCCGGGCGCCATCCCTGCCGCGGGCGCCGCCGCCGCCGCCGCGCGTCCTCCCGCTGCACCCACGTCCTCCCGCTGCACCCGCGTCCTCCCGCTGCACCCGCGTCCTCCTGCCAGGACTGGGCCAGAGCCAGCGGCCGCTACCAGCCCGAGCGGGAGGACCCGGCCCGCTGGAAAACCAACTTCCGCTGCGCGCTGCGGAGCACCCGCATGTTCGAGCAGCTGCAGGACTGCTCCAAGAGTGACGAGGACCCCCACAAGGTCTACAGGGTCGTTGGTGAGGCTCGGCTGTGGCCGCGAGGGGAATGCGGTGCCGGCGCTGCCCGCTCAGCCCTGCTCCTCCCCACAGAGTCCCCGGTGCCCGAGGTCGGCGGACACAATCCCGATCCCGTGCAGGCGGCTGCCCCCTGCCCCCCGCAGAGCCAGGTACCTGGGCAGGGGGACGGGGCGCACGGGCTCCTCGCTCCCACTGGGCGCTGAGCCCCCTGGCGCGCTGCCCTCCGCAGCCGGTGCTGGAGTTGGACTTCAGGCTGCTGTCGCTGGAGAACAGCCCCCCGGAGGGGACACAGGGCAGGGCGGTGATGGGCACAGAGCATCTCGAGGCCCCAGGCCCCGCGGACGGCATCGAGGCAGAGCTGGCCGCCCCGCTGGACGAGCTGCAGTGGGTGCTGCAGCAGTGCAAGCTGGGCCAGCCGGCGCCAGGCTGGGGCACGGTGCCAGGTAAGCGCCGCAGGCGCCAGCTCAGCGCTGCAGGCGCCAGGCGGCCCCGGAGCTTCCCAGCCCACCCGCCCGCAGGAGGGGACCTCTACGGCAAGGAGGTCATGGAGCTGGCGGAGGTGCCGAGCGCTGCGGCGCAGCCGGAGCTGCTGCCGGACGCGGTGCTGCTGCCGGCCGCAGAGCTGCTCTACACCGACAGCGCCTGGGAGGCCCCAGCAGCGCCCTGCGACGCGGGACTGGTGCCCGCGGCCGACCCCGGGCCGGCAGCTCCGCTGCAGGGGAACACAGGTGAGGGGCCCGGGCTGGCCCCGCTGGAGGCTCCTTTTGTGAGGTCTAAAAGGGGGGTTGGGAGCCTCTCTGCTCCAGCAGGCCAAGAACCCTCACCTGGTTCTCGGGGGGATGCAAGATTTCCTCGGGGCAGCTGCCCAAAGAGACGAGCAGGGAGCAGGACATGGGAGTGGGGCTGGGGCTGGAGGGGCCCATAGGGGTCCAACGCTTTGGTGACGGCACCTGCAGGCCTGGGCATCCCCCCCACGCTGGACATCAGCATCTTCTACCGTGGGACGCTGTTCCACCGCGAGGAGGTGAGCAGCAGCCGCTGCCTGCTGGCCTACCAGGGCGCCGAGGGCGCCGCGGCCCTGCTGCCGGGCCTGCCCTGGCTCGTGCGCTTCCCCAGCCCCGCCGGCCTGGCCGACCACAAGCAGCGCCGCTTCACCGAGGAGCTGCTGCGCAACACGGGGCTGCTGCTGGAGCTGCGCGACAACAAGATCTTCGCCCAGCGCCTCAACAAGTGCAAGGTCTACTGGGCGCTGTCCGATCAGCTGGACGCGGGCAACCTCTCGCCCAAAGTGCTGTGCCGCAACCAGGAGACGGAGATCTTCGACTTCGTGGCCTTCTGCTCGGGTAGGCAGCCCCGGCTGGCGCGGGGGACCTGGCGGCGCCTGACGGCCACCAGCCTCCACGGGAGGACGGGAGGGTGGGAAGGGGCAGGCTGGGCTGCAGCGGCGACCCCGGCTCCCTCTTGCCCTCCCGTGGATTGAACTCGAGAATTTGCTCCATCCCTAACCCCCCAGCCCCCTGGCCCTGCGCTGCCCCGTCTCGCAGCCCTGCTCACAGAGACCCCTCTCGCAGAGCTGACCGACTTCCGTGACCACCGCCGGAAGCGCTCGCCTGACTTCACCATCTTCCTCTGCTTCGGGCAGTGCCTATCCAACACCAAGCCCAAGGAGTCCAAGCTCATCCTGGTGAAGGTGAGGAAGCCCCTCGCGAGCAACTCGCTGCATCCCTAGGCCAGGGCACGTGGCGGTTGCTGACACCCTCTGCCTTTGGCTTCCGCAGCTGGTGCCCAAGTTCTGCGAGTACTTGCGCGAGCAGGTGCTGCGGGAGGGCGCCTCCTCCCTCAACAGCAGCAGCCTCAACCTGCAGCTCTCCAACTCCTTCAGCCTCTTCGAGCTCATCGAGCAGTACAACATGCAGCTGGACTGAGCGCTGGCAGCACCCTGGGCTGCCCGCCAACTCCAGCACTTCTGGAGGCTGCAACCAAGTCACGGCCTCCGCTCGGTGTCGGACTCGGCGCTGGAGCCTGCCCCCGGAGCGGCAGCGTTGGGGCGAGGCCCCCGCGGCTCCGAGAGCCCCGACCCGCCTGCGTCGCCCTACGCGCCGCCCGGGGCAGCTCCCGCCACCAGCGAGGCGGCTGCGGACCCCTGGGCTGGGGGGCTGCGAGGGGCTACAGCTCCCCCTGCCTCACCCCTGGCCCCCACGGGCTGAGCCCCCAGCCCCAGGGCCGTGTGGCAGGGCGGGCGCCCGCGGGGGCTGGTGGCCGCTCAAAGCCGCTCGCATCGGCCCCACGGCCCGGACGGGTCTCCCCAAGGGCAGGCGCCGCCGCTCCTGCCGGTCCTCGGGCCGCCTGCGGGCGCGGGGAGGAAGGAGAGCCGCGGCACAGGGAGCAGGGCCCGGGAAGCAGGTGTCCCTCGAGCCCGGGGCCCACGGCACCATCGGGGCAGGGCCAGCAGGCAAAGCCCCGGCCTTGGAGAAGGCAACGGGGCTCAGCCTGCGGCGGGCTGTCAACTGTTAATATCCATCTTTCCACAGTATATAGTTATTTATGGAGTTATATCCTTTAGTTTCAAGGATTTATGTATATGTGCAAACACTGGCTGCTGCTATGCATCTCTCCCCAGCACTCAGCTGGAGCCTCTCAAGCAGCCTGAGCTTTAACTCTGCGAGGGTGAACACGTATCCAACTCCTGCCTAGGCACCTGGCCCCACTTAGTAGGAGGTCAGGATCCCCCTCTCCGAGACCTCCAAGCCCTCCGAAGACACTGAGAACATTGGAGCAGGACAGAGCAAGCCTAGTGTTGGAGAGGAGCTCACTGCCACTGCTCCTGCTGGCAGCTGGTACCAAAGCAACAAGTGCATCCCCACCTCCTTCCCCTGGCCTTGATCTCACTAAATAAAGGGACTTCCCATCATTAACGGGGTGTTTATTGTGAAGGGAGCTTGCAAACCAGGAGGCAGGGCACAACGAAGACAGCTTGGCTTCGGCTAAAACAAATTCTTCTCCCACAAGTGCCTCGTGGCTGGCCCAGCTACTCCCTGGAGCTGTTCTGGAAAGGCAAGGGGACACGCGGGCTGCGGAGCGCGCTGGGGGCAGCCGGCCACTGCGCGGTGCCGCGCGCTCTGCTCCTCCAGCGCGGCCCGAGCAGCAGGGGCCCGCGAGAGCGGCGCCGCGGTACCTGGCGGCCCACGTGGACGCTGCCGGGCCCCACGGTCGCGGTCCCGTAGCTGGGGACGGAGTGGCGCGCGGGCGGCTGCGCGGGAAGGGCCTCCGGCTGCTCGGGCACTGCGCGCGGAGGAAAACCTGCTGCTAGGCCAGCCCGCTCTGCTCCACTCAATCCCATGGTTATTCCCCCCCGGAAAAAGGCAGGAAAGCTCCCTGGTAGCAGGCCAGCAAAACCCAGCCACTCTGGTCCCACCGAGAGGGAGAAAAACTGCTCTGGAAGAACCTGGAGTAATTGCTTCACGTAGGGAACCAGCCTCCAGCCTCCCACCCCAGAGTCCCTCTGAGGCCAGAGGAAAGAGGTGCTCATTCCTCTCTGCGCCTCCCCACCTTCCTTCCCGTTTAATCCCTTTCTCCTCGTCTGGAGTAACCCTCTGGATCCACCCTGCCCACACGCAGGGCGCAGGAGCGACTCGCCACCCGCCGCCGCTCGCCCTCCCACAGCCCCAGCCCACCTCCGGGCAGGAGCAGCTCTGCTCGGAACCGATGGCCGCACGTCCCACACGTTCTAACTTCTTCCTTCGTCCTGTGCCGGAAAGAGCCCCCAGAAGAATGAGCAGGAGCAGCCCCTGCAACACTTGCCTTAGAAGATGATGCCAAAATTACTGAAAAGGCTCCCCCTTTCCAGGATCGTGAAGAGCCCGCTGGCAGGAGGGCTGCCAAATCACCCACATCCCTATGTCCAGGACAGGGAAGTGCTCTCAGTTTCCTGTGGGAAGTCGAGGCGAGCAGGCCCTGCTCTGTCCCTGATCCAGCCTGGGGTCAGGAAGGACGTCACGTGCTTTATGCCCAAGCCCCCAAGCTTCCACCTTCCCCTCGCTCAGGCGTCCCTGCGACCAAACGCAGTGAGCGGATACCACGAGGCCCAGGGACAGCTACACGCAGAAGGGTCCTGCAGCCCTTCCCTGGGGGCCCGCAGCCCCACGGGCCCCGCAGAGCGCCCCGCTGCCCGCCGAGGACGCGCGCGCGCACGCACACCACCATCCTGCCCTCCACGTCCGGCCACGGCAGCTCCGCGGGGCAGCGGGCGGTTCGGCAGGGCGTCTTCACGCACACGTGCAGCCCCGGCCACTCCTCCGACAGCTTCTGGCCCATGGACACCACGGCCATGAGGAAGTCCCAGGCGGAGCGGAACTCTGTCAGACAGCAGGAGAAAGTGGTGCCGACTCGCGTGCCCCAGGCCCACGGCGACCCAAAGGGTGACCCAGGAGGCCCCACGCTCCTACAGGGCTTTTGCCTGGGATGCCTTGGACATGGAGACGTGGACTCACGCCACACTCCACTGGGATCCTAGGGATCAGAGAGTAGCTGCCCTATCTGCTTCAAGAGAAATAAATATTTGTCTTTCCTCTTTCATCTGATACCTCGGAAGCGGAACCATGAACGAGTTAGAGGGAGAAAGGGGGAGACTGAGCTGAGCTGCTGGTGCTTCAGAGGACCCTGGCCAGAGTAGGGTCTGCTGCAGGGGAGGAGTGGAGGTGAAGGGGGCTGAGGGGACGCACGTGCCTGAGCGATGGATGCACGGAGAAGGCAGCTGGGGGGCAGGGGAGGACAAGGACACTTACCCCTCCTCTCTGCAGGCTTTCTGCACCGGAGCTCGAGGTAGCTGTAGGCCCTCTGGTTGTTCTCCTTGATCAGCAAGGCTTTGCCATTGCATATGAGGAGGCAGGTCACCTTGGCCACCCAGTGTGTGGAGTAGAAGGAGCAGGCCTTCACCAGGAACCTGCAGGGAGATTGCTCATGGATTTAGCTGCCCTCCTCCCTCCCCATTGCCTCCAGCATCAAGTAGGGCACTGCGGGAATCCAACATACAAAACCAATTCTAGCTGAAACAAATGAGGAAGCTGAGGGAGGAACCTCTCTTAGTGAATGCTCAAGCAACGCAAGCTAAGGCTAAACATCAGGCCCATAATCAGTAGCCTTCTAAGGCTAGTGCTGGAGCAGGAGCCAGGCAACGTGATTCCCAATACCTACTGCCACCCTCTCCAAAAAGAGACAGTCAAAAGCCTCTTTCTTAAGCCAAGAGCTGCTTCCAGACTGGGCCGCCAGAAGAATTCTGAACACAGCCCAAGAGAAGAACCCCAAAGAGGCAGGAGACTTTCCAGAAATAGGCCTAGTCACAGTGCTGAAAGAAACACCTCTGGCAAAAGCTGAAACAAAAGAGCATTATCTTTGTTCATGTGTAGACAGTGACTATGGAAAGGATTTGTCCACAAGACCATGGCAGAGCTGAAAAGCCACCTCTGGTCTCTGGAGCCCCAGCTTAGAGCCTGAACACTCAGCTCCCCTCAGGAGCTGAGGGGCTGCGGAGAGTCAGACCGGTTGTGTGTCAATCAACCCTCCCAGAAACCAGCCAGGGAAGAGCACAACCCCAGCACAGGCTCCAAACCACTGCTCACCTCTGAAAGAACCCCTCAGGTATTTCAGGTGAGAAATAGGCCCGGATGTGGAGGTCCTCAGGGTGGTCTCCTCCCCACACCTCAGAAACCTCTTCAGTCTGGTTCAAGTAGGTTGGGAACAGGTACCAGGACTCTCCAAGGCCGTGTGTTGTCTCCCATGGCTTCCCAGGCACAAACTCATGGGCCTCGGGGTTGAGAGCTTCGGCTCTCTTCATTTCCAGGCAGATCTCAAAGTGCTCCAGGAGACTGAAGAGTTTCCCTCTCCCTTCGTGGGGCTTGTATCCCATGATGTCCTCAAAGATGTCCTGCATTCCCTCCTGATAGAGCTGGTACTTGACCAAGGCCCGCACTGCCCTGTGGCACAGCATCGCCTTCGACTTGAACGTCCACACCCAGTTGGATCTGTCCCTGATGGTGGAGTGCTCCCCTATGAGCGTGTCCACCGAGATGCTCTCAAGCTGCTGCACGAGGCGGTACCTTACAAGGAGCTGGGTGGCAAGAAAGGAGGAGAAAGGGCTGCAATGAGAGAAGCACAGTGAAGCCGCAGGCACTGTCTGCAACTTTGCTCATGCAGAGAAGACCCACACTCACCTTGAACATAGTTATCAGGAAAGTAGGCTGGAGAAAGACGGTGTTCTCCAGGCGCTCGATTTCCTCGTACCATATGACGAGCCCGATGCGGTGGAGGTACCGCAAGATATCCCGGAGGAGCTCTCTGCCCAGGCTGGCCAGATGCTCTTGACGGCAGAGTTTGCTGAGGAGGTGCTGGAGGTCCATCATGCCTGCAGGGAGGCCCAGGAAGTCAAACCACATCTCCTCAGCCAGCAGTCGAAGGCAGACACTTTACAGAACCAATGAGCACAAGCAACACCAAACAGCCCATGCTGTTTCTGGAGGGCAGCACCAGGAGTGCAGCGATGCCCCGTGGCTCTGTGCCAAGGGGCTCTGCCCACCCCAGCTGCCCCACTGCAGCAAGGCAGCCCACGGCGCACTGGAACCTCAGAGGAGCTTCTGAAAAACGAGGGGTTCAGCGAGGGGTTCCCTGTTTCAGACTGCAGACTTGCTTCTAGCTAGAGGACCTTTGACTGCAAGTTAAATGTCAGACTGTCATTAGTCATTCAGAGCACATATGGAGACAGGCAGCTACACCTGGAATTAAAAACTTGGGATTTTCTCTCTGGAAGAAAAGAGCTTGCTTTGCTCCCTGTGATCCTGCAGCACTCAAGGGAGCCACAGAAAGCACCAACTTTTGCTGCTGCTCGTACCACCTGCTTTAGATAGGTAAATGAACAGGCAAGGCTGCCTGCAAAGTCACAGGAGGGACAGAAGAGCCAGCCAGAGCATGATAGGGACCATGAAATAAAGTTACTTTCCACATCTGTGTCCTGTTAAACAGGAGCACTGCTTCTGGCAGGACGCACTAAAGCTGTGG